TTTTGCTATAAAATAGGCTGTCTGGCTTAGAAGATTAGGTCTTGCGAATTTGCCTTGCGGACTTCTATATTTGGGAACAACATGGTGGCATAAATCTACTTTACATCAGAACAGTAAAGCGGTATGCTTTAAATCATATATGTACATCCACCTCACATACGTACTATTTGGGCCATAAATCAAAAAGGACCATTGCTGAGGAGGCTTGGATTAAGACTTCTTGATGTTCGCATTTGTGTTTGTGGGAATGATTGTTTTCTACGGATACTAAAAGCAATTCTGTCAAGGAGGGAGTATATGTGATTCTAACAGAAGGAGAGTGAGATCGAAGGACGGTAACAGCAGAAGCATTGATAAGAAACGAACAGAACAAAAGAATTTGTTATAAGCTCGCATAGCGCAGTAGTTTCTTGATAATCTGAGCACTCGGATTCCATTCTTTTGTGATTGCAATAACGCTCAAAAACCTTGTAAAGTGAACGTTTTCTGCGCACTTTTCTCTTAGGCAAAATTAGGACAGGTTCGTCTTCCTATGGGCAAAAAAGAAAATTGGTGAAAATGAGATATGCATCTCGCAATCGTTTTTCGACATTTCTCACCTACTAATTCATAAGTAATAGGTACCCGGTCCGCAATCTAGATCACCGAATCTTTGTATCAAAAAGGATCGGGATCCTTCTTTCGGGCGTAAAATGACAGAAGAAGTTTGACGTTAGTGAATCTAAAAATAAATAGCAACACCTCTTCTTTTTTATTACTTAATTAACTATATACTATAAAAAACAAATACAATCATTCCCGATATTGTTTTAACCGTTATGAAGCATTTTCGCTATGCATATTCTCAAAGAAGCAAATTACTGTGTCAATCGGTGTCGTAATATAGAAGCCAAGTTAAATGAAGTTTCGCCCATAATAATTCGTTAAAATAACTTTGTTGAAAAACTAGTGAAATCTGTGCATTTGTTGGATGATAATGAAGTTGTTTCAGTAAAGGATTATAATGAACACTTGTTAGTCAAATGGCTTAGATCATCATCATTATATTTTGCTTCTTAGAATTATGATTGCAGTGGCAAGCACTACACCCTTAATTTCCGAGAAAACGCTGGAGATCAAAGCATTGCTATATTTCATATATTTTTCTATATAAAGATATATTTTCGTCCACCAGGTAGAGCAGCACTCATACAAATGCCGTTCTGAAAGTTATAGCTGCATTGACTATTTTACGTGTGTTTTGATATTTTTGAGAGTTTT